CTCATAGAGATGACTTCCAGCAAATTGTCTCTAACATATGGACCAATCCTGTTTTGGGCACTCTTCAATTCTAAGTCTTCACCAAGCTGAAAATGCTTAAACAGGCTTTCAAGGATCTAACCAAACCCCAAAGTGAGAACGTTACCATAAGGGTCCAAGCCTCTAAGATGGAGCTTGACAAATGTCAAAGGCTTTTAGGGTATTTTCCTATGGATGCAGCCCTGAGATTTCTTGAGAAGCAACTCCTCCAGGATTATATTATTGCAGCAAAAAATGAGGAATCCTTTCTGAGGCAAAAGTCAAGAGTTCAGTAGCTTAAAGATGGAGATCATAATTCAACTTTTTTTCTTCAAAACCATCAATTCTAGAAGAAACCGAGATAAAATTCTATCTATAACCAGAGTAGATGGGACTACATCCAATGAGCCTGAGGGGATCCAGCATATTGTTATCCACCATTTCCAATCCATTCTTGGCAATAGTTCTTCATATGCACAATACAGGTATAGGGAGCTTCATAACTTTTCATGGAGACAACTTTCAGATGAACAAGTTTTGCATCTTTCTATTCCTATCACTGAGGATGAGATCAAGAGGGCATCTTTCTCTATTCACTCCAACAAAGCCCCAGGTCCTGATGGCTTTAATGGACACTTTTACAAAGCTGCTTGACCTACTTTTGGTGAAGATATTTGTGCAGCAGTCTTGGAATTCTTCACTAGAGGTCAATTGTTGAAAGACCTCAATAATACCATCATTTTGTTAGTTCCTAAAGTCCCTAATCCTTCTAAGATTGAAGACTTTAGACCAATTTCATGCTGCAACACTCTTTATAAAATCATCTCCAAGGTTATAGCTTCTAGAATTAAGGAGGTGTTCTCTGATATTGTTTCTCATAATCAATCAACTTTTGTACCTGGAAGAAGGATAGGGGATAACATTCTCCTTGCACAAGATCTTATGAGGAATTATCACAAGGATATGGGATCGCCCAGATGTGCAATAAAGGTTGATTTTATGAAGGCTTTTGACATTGTTGATTGGAATTTTGTGATGTTCACTCTCAAGAGATTTAACTTTCCATCTAATATGATTTCTTGGATCCAAGCTTTAATCACAACTCCTAGATTTAGTATCAACCTTAATGGGGAGTTAGTTGGTTTTTTTCCTAGCAAGAGGGGTATTAGACAGGGCGATCCTCTGTTCCCCTATCCTTTTGTCCTCATCATGGAAGCTTTTACTCACATTCTTAAAGCTAAAATTGCTGCTTCAGATTCTTTTAAGTACCACTGTAGATGTAAAGGACAAAAGTTGGTTCATTTGTGCTTTACAGATGACCTTTTCCTCTTCTACCATGGCTCTCTTCCCTCAGTTGTTGTGTTGAAAAGAGCTTTGGATAAGTTCCAATCCCTGTCTGGTTTGAGTGCAAATGTAGTTAAGAGCCAAATCTTTATTTCTGGGATCCCTGAGACACAAAGGACTAAATTATCTCTTGCCTTGGATTTCGGTTGGGGCAGCTTCTTGTCAAGTACTTGGGTATCCCACTCATTTCAACCAAGCAGAGGCCAAGAGATTGTGCAATTCTGGTGGACAAAACTGAAGCTAGAATAAAAAGTTGGACTAACAAATTTCTCTCTTATGCAGGTAGGCTTCAACTTGTGAAATCTGTTATGTGCAATATGCAAAACTACTGGTTAAGCCATTTGATCCTTGCCAAGAGTGTTCTGAAAAGAGTTGAGCAGTTACTAAGATCTTTCCTATGGTCTGGCAACAAGCAAAAGAAAGAAGCCTCTAAGGTGACTTGGGAGATTGTCATTAAATCAAAAGAGGAAGGTGGTCTTGGGATTAAAGATCTTCATAGTTGGAACAAAGCTCTAATGTTGAGGTACATCTGGTACATTATCTATGACAAGGAAAATCTTTGGGCTAACTGGATCAAAGTGAACTATCTCAAGATGAAATCTTTTTGGGAAGTTAGACCCACCTCAGATTTGTTCATGGAATTGAAGGAAACTCTTGAAACTCAGGCACACTGCCAGGCCATTGATTCTTCACACTATTGGAGATGGTAAATCAACACACTTGTGACATGACAATTGGCACATGCATGGGCCTTGTCTTCTTAAATGGTCAGAGAGAATCATTGAACTTGCAAATCTGCCATCTACCACAAAGGTAGAAACCATTGTTAATGGTACCTGCTGGGCATGGTCTTCTTCAGGTACTCCTGAGCTGCTGCAAATTCTCAATTCTATGTCGTCCTATAATCCCAACATTATACTGCCCATTCAGCATGGAAATCTTTTTAAACCTCTGGTCCTAAGGTTCCTTGGCACAAGCTTGTATGGTACCCTCAATACATCCCTAGGATGTCTTTTGTTCTCTGGATTGCTATTCATGGGAAGCTTGGAACGAAGGATCGAATCAAGACTTATATGCAAACATTAATACGACATATGTGTTTTGTAGGCTAACAGAGGAAAGTATCAACCATCTGTTTTTTGAATGCCCTTTTACAATTGAAATATGAAACAAGGTGCTTAGTCATTCTATGGCCTCTTGGTTCCACCCATGTTGGTTACCAGCTATCCACTTAGCCTCCAACCAGTGGAAAGGGAAATCCCTCAAATCCATTGTGCTCAAACTCAGCCTTTCTAGTTCTGTCTATACGATTTGGAGAGAAAGAAATGCTAGAGTCTTCAAGAATGAATTTAGGGATGCAACTATCATTTTGAAGTCCATCCTTCATGTTATTAGCAGTAATCTTCTCACTGCCATCTTCAAACAATCCACCCGGAATATTGCTTTTCTCTAGCATTGGAACAATTATGTGTCTAATGTTTGGTCCTATAATTTTCCATCATGAATGCTCTGAACTGCCATAAGTTCTGTCACAAGGCAGAACTTATTGCAGTTCAAGTGCTTGGCCCCTGTTTTTGTTTTTTTGGTCTGTTTGATAAACAGATAGGTTCTTTACATGTACATGTAATTTTGCAAGATAAATATATTTTACTTTCCCAAAAATAATAAGAGTGACCTTACCACTGAAGGCGGCAACTGTGGCCGGAGTACTCTATTATTGAGAGTACAAGTTAGTTAGAGAAAGAGAGGGAGAGAGCAAGAATACATTCAAGGTGAGGTATGTGTCCTCCGTGTAGAGATAGTTGTCTGTCTCTCATGTGTAGATAACTTATAATTTATAGGCACGAGCCCTAGCTGAGGCAATGACGTGAATGTTATGCTACTAGTCTTTCGGGGAGGATAGCTACAATTAAGTATAGGTGCTATTTTCAAGTAATGGCTATCTCGATATTTACTCTTCACATGCGTTGATCTTCTTAGACTTTTGAATTTTGGACGAGATTAAGGCCATAAGCTAAGTTTGACGTGTTTTTTGATGATTTGGGCTCAACCCATCAATTAGGCCTTAGTCTGATCTAAATCTAGGCTCGTCAATAACATCTTGAGACTATCCTATGGCTTTTAATTGTGCTGAAAAGAATTAACACATTTGGTAGTTGGAGTGATCTAATCTACTTTTCTCCCCCATACCTCCACAATGGATGAAGATGGCATAGGCGAGGGCGAAGGTGAGGGCAAAAGCAAAGGCGAAGACTATTTATGACAAAAAAAATTAATATTTACATGGACTATTTATAATATTTAAAAATTTAAGATCTTCTTTAAGAATGGAGCTAAAGCTCAAGCTTTTTCAACACACTGTTTGGCTGTTCCTGCACAAACTGAATGAGTAAACACCACTGCCCCATGTAGACACAAACACCACCACCCACTGCCATGCCTTTCCACACCCACGACACCACCACCAAGCCTCCATTACTCACAGTATCGAATCTAAAACATTTCAATCAAAAACATCACAGTTGACAAATACCAGATTGATGACAAATTGAAGATCACAAAAGGTTGAACCATGGCAGTTTTGCGTAGTGGTTCGACATGACATCTTTTATATATAAGTAAAAGGGTTTGAGGACAAGTTAATTTGTAAATTTTTATCTGCATAATTCACTACTTTTACCGTGAACATTTTTCATGTTTTCTGTCACTATTGTGACTATCACTTTTGCGGCTGCTGAACGGATTCACTATTGCGACTATCACAGTAAATATTACATACAAACCTCTTAAAGTTTGTAAGTCCGTAACACTTACACTTTTACCGTCAATGTTCATATATCAATTAATAAATTATATTCAGACTCCCTGAAATTAGTAGGCTATAATTTTTAGATTTCTCAAGTTTAAAATGTTATATTTAGACCACAAAAACTCCAAATAAAGATACAATATCTAATATTTTAATTTTTACAACTAAAATTCATGTTATATTTTATCATTCATTGAAATAAAATCAAAAATAAAAATCTAACTTTTTCTAAAATATCGTAATTAGTATACAATTATATTATCTATTGGAATAAATTTAAAAAATCAAACAATGGGTCAAACTGTAATGGATACAATATCTTCTAGCTTTAATTGTAGTAATTTGGTCATTTAAATGATCAAATTAAATTCCAATAGATAGTATAATTGTATATGAATTATGATTTTTTTAATAAAAAATAAGATTTTTATTTTTGATTTTTTTTCAATAAATATTATTATAGAACATGAATTTTTGTTCTAAAATTTATAATATTTGATATTCTATATTTGATTGGAGTCTTTGTAGTCTAAATATAACATTTTAAACTTGAAAGGTCTAAGTATTATACGCTTATAAATTTTAGGAGATTTATATATAATTTATTAATGGATATATTAGTGGACAATGGATATATTAGTGGACATTGATCGCAGGGATCTAAGTGTTAAATGCGTACAAACTTTAGGAGGTCTGTGTGTAATATTTCAAATATTAGGGAATCTAAGTGATTAAATGACAAAGCTCAAGAGATCTGAGTGTAATTCTTCCTAACAATTAAGGAAGTCTTCTGTATTGCTATATTTACTAAGTTTTTCATTTCAAGTGATGAGATATAATCTTTATCATTAAATATTAACGAGACCCATTTATTTAGTGGTAAAAATTATGTTACATCACTTGAGATGAAAAGTTTGATAAAAAATCTTAATCACCGTGGCGTTAATAAAGAATCGCGGTCAACATAATATTAATAAAAGATCTTGACTAGTATAATATTAGTAAAAACTGTGCCACAACACTACAACTCCAAACTCTTCTTCCCCTCTCTCTCTCTCTGTTGTAAAAAATAAAAAATTTAACTACCAAGGCCAATGATGGTCAGGCTCTCTCTCTCTCTCTCTCTCCAAAATAAAAAATGCAGCAACCAAACTCTTCCTCCTCTCTTTCTCCAAACTTAGTCTCAAAACCTCGTCAATGTCCTCTCAACCACTCTCTGGAGGCATATAATTCTCAGTGTATTTCTAAAATGCTACGGACCTGGAAATCTAGTACTCAGCTTGAATTCATTCATTTGGGGACCAGCCAGAAAAGCTTCATGTTGTCACAAAAACTCATTTTTAATGTTATGTGCATGCTCTTGTATCTCCTTCCAAGCCTTGATCACATGGCAATAGTCTGTAAGTGTTGCTCCAACAGCAAGCCTTATCACGTACACTCCCCCAACCACAGCATGTGTC